CAAGTCGAGGCTTGAATTTTTTCTTCAGTTCTCTCAGCTTGAGAAATGCTGAGCGAGTTCTTCTCCTTTGGTTTTCGAACTCCAGGTCTTTGCACATTCCATCATATTTGACTTTGTCTTCTCAGGTGGCCCTTTGAAATTTCCTGTTCAGCTCTTTTATCTCATCTCTTCCATTTGTTTAGCATTTCTACACTGGAGAGTAAGTTTCAGAGTCTCATCTGACATCCATTTTGTCCTTTTCCTTCTTTCTTCTTAATGACCTTTTGTTTCTTCCTATATGTTTTTGATGTCATTTCACAACTCTTCTGGTCTTCAGTCTTTAGTGTCTAATGCATCAAATCTGTTCTTCAGATGATCTCTGAATCCAGGTGGGATAGGGTCAAGGTCATATTTTCTAGAGCTTCAGCCTGAATTTGCATATGAGCAATTGATGATCTCTTCCACAGTCTGTCCCTGACATTGTTTTGGATGACAATATGGAGGTTTCTCACTATGTCTTTCTACAGAGGTAGTCAATTTGATTTCTGTGTATTCCATCTGGTGAGGTCCATGTGTTATATTTATATTGTTTAAAAAAGTTATTTGCAATGAAGAAGTCATTGGTCTTGTAAAATTCTATCATGCAATCTCCAGTCTTGTTTCTATCACCAAAGCCATATTTTCCAACTACCGATCCTTCCTCTTTGTTTCCAACTTTTGTATTACAATTACTGGAACTACAAGTACATCTTGATTGCATGTCTGATCAATTTCAGACTGAAGAAATTAGTGAATTCTTCAATTTCATTATCACTGGTTTTAGTGATTGGTATGTAAATTTGAATAATAGTGGTATTAACTGGTCTGTCTTGTATAATAGTAGTATTAACTGGTCTGTAATATAACAACAACAACATTATCCTATTACAAAGTTTTGATGTGGCGCTGTGCGTTAATGCACTAAACTGCAAAGCCATTTGAACTGCAAGATTGGCGGTTCAAGCTCACCAGCTGCTCCTTGGAAACCCTATACAGGGTCACTATGGGCCAGAATCAACTCAACAGCACTTAAAAACAACAACATTATCCTATTACAGATGGTATTATACTTCAAGATAGATCTTGAAAAAAAATTTTTTACGATGAATGTGATGCCATTTGTCTTTAATTTGTCATTTCCAGCATAGTAAACCATATGTTTATCAGATTTCAAATTGCCTATACCAGTTTAGTTCACTAATGCCTAGGATATCGATCGAATGTGTTCTATATCATTTTTGACAACTTCTAATTTTCCTAGATTCCTACTTTGTACATTCCATGTTTCAATTATTCATGAATTTTATAGCTGTTTATCCTCATTTAGAGGTGTGCCCCATCAGCAAATCAGGATCCTGAAAGCTTTACTTCACACATGTCATCATGGTCAACTGTACTTTGAGGACGCAGCTCTTCCCCTTTGAATGCCTTCCAAACTGAAGGGCTTATCGTAGGCACTATATCTGACAATATTCTGTTGCTATTCATTATGTTTAAATACATCAGCATATAAGGGAACAACACTGGTAAAATATACCCACTATGAATGATGGAACGGTCAATTATTCAAAATCAAAAGGGCAATATTTACCTAAGGACAAAATTGAGAAGGGATGGGAAGGTGGGTAGAATGGAAATAGGAACCAAAGGGAGGAAGTGAGATAACTATTCTTGCATGGAGGGGATTGCAATCATTGAGATTAAATGAAGCGTATGATTTGTAGAATGTAAAACCAGTGATCGTGTCTGTAAATCTTCATTCAATTCACAATAAAAAGTAAAAAAAAAAAAAAGAATGTATGAATGTATCTCTTGAACATTGTACCCTTTTATAGAATTATCTATAAGTAATCAAATTGATAAAAATCAACGCAAAGGTTGTATGAGACGCTTAGGGTGTATTTTATGCTCATTTGTAATAATGAGAATTGTTGCACAACCTGAAGAATTTAATCAATGTCACTGAATTATATATGTAGAAATTGTTGAATTGGTATACATTTGTTGTTGTTATTGTTAGTGGAGTCAAGCAGGTTCTGACTCATACCTACCTTGTATACAGTTTTTGAGGAGTGGCTGATGGGTTTGAACCACGAACCTTATGTTTAGTAGTCCTGTACTTATCCTACAGCACTACAGTAGGACTCCACAGAGGATATACAGACAGGAAATACACCACATAAATAGATTCAATATCACTAGCTATTAGAAAAATGCAAAGTAAACCCCAATGAGATATCCCTACAAACCCACTGTTGTTAAGTGCCATTGAGTCAGCTCCAACTCATAGTAACCCTGTCAAATGTTTCCAAGAAGTGACTGGTGAGTTTGAACCACCAACCTCATCAATAGCAGTCCAATGCTAATCCTACAGTACCACATCAGGACTCCATATATGCACTAGAACTAGAAGAGCTAAAGTAAAAAATTAGTGGAAATACCAAATGTTACATTGAATGTCAAAGGTCCCATGGTGAACATGCAAAATAGTATAGCCATTCTGGAAGACTATGGCAGTTTGTTATAAAAGTAAGCATGAAAATACCATATGACCCAGCAAACACATTTCTGGGTATTTATCCCAGAATAAATGGCTGAAAGCAGAGAATATCAGAAAGATGTTTACCTGTGCTTTATTGACTATGCAAAGGTTTTTGATTATGTGGCTCATGACAAGCTATGGACAACATTGTGAAATATGAGTATTCCGGACCACTTAATTGTGCTCATGAGTAATCCGTACCTGGATCAAGAGGAGTAGCTGTTTGAACAGAACAGGGGAACACTGAATGGTTTAAAATTAAGAACGGTGTGCGACAAGGCTGTATTCTTTCACCATACTTATTTGACCTGAGCAAATAATCTGAGAAGCTGGGTTCTATAAAGAAAAACGTGGCATCAGGATTGGAGGAAGACTCATTAACAACCTGCAATATGCAGATGATACTACCTTGCTTGCTGAAAGTGAAAAGGACTTGAAACATTTACTGATGAAGATCAAAGAGCACAGTCTTCGGTAT